AAGCCACCTGTCCTTTTCACTTTGATAAAGTAAACTACTGCTGTGGGAAGGTAATCATACATATAAGATTTCAAAGGGATATATAAAAATACATTTCATAACACGCATCTGCTTAAGTACATATAATACAGCATAAGAAAAAAAGGACTGCTCCTCTGCATCTCAGAGATTTTAAAGAAGAATAAACTAGCTAGACTATCACCTGATCCTATCCCAGAAGTATATGTTATAGGCCATCAATAAATTACTATTGCTAACATTATCCTCTAAAATCTTTCATCTACTATCAGTACTCTTCTAATCAGGCCATCCTCTGCTGTGTAAAAGAAAGTAAGTTGTTGTTTGTTATGTTTCTATATCGTTTCCATAGCAAAGGTCTGTGCTGCTTAATTTAACTTAAGCTGGAGGGATAAAGCCTGAAGGTCACTACAGGACACATTATAGCAACTTTAATAACAACAGTTCCATTATCAGTCCTGCCAATTTACTTGGGGAAGGCCCCTGGATTTTTCTATATCAGAAACATGAACATACTAGAAACATTGTAGAGATACTAAAAATACAAAATTGAAATTCCATAATATAAATTACTTAAAAGTAACAATGTGACAAAACAAAAATAAATGTTAAAATGTACATATAACAATGTCATAAAAAAAAATCATCACTAGAGTCAGGTATGGCAGCACACACCTGTTATTCTAACACTTGGAACATAAGCAGGAAGATAAGTATTTCATGGCCATCCTTAACTTCACAGTGACTTTTAGGTGAATCTGAGCAACATGAGACTTTGTCTCAAAAAAATAAAGTAAAATAAAGAAATCATCACTAGGCAATGGATCTTGACATATGATAAAATACAAAGCCTAGCCGGGCGGTGGTGGCGCACACCTTTAATCCCAGCACTTGGGAGGCAGAGCCAGGCGGATCTCTGTGAGTTCGAGGCCAGCCTGGGCTACCAAGTGAATTCCAGGAAAGGCGCAAAGCTACACAGGGAAACCCTGTCTTGAAAAAACCAAAAAAAAATAAATAAAATACAAAGCCTAAAAACAACAAAATTATAAACCTTGTTTTTCAAACTTCAGTAATTTCTATGGTAAGATTTAAAATATTTCTGCCTCAAGCTGGGGACAGAATTCAGTTGTACAGTACTTACCTAGCATGAATGAGGCCCTGGGTACGGCCCCTAGCACAGCAACAAAATAGAAAAGAAAAAGCTGACTTGCCATTGTTTAATCTATACTCTTTTTACTTTTGAGACGTGGTCTCACTAGGCAGACCAGGTTGATCAAACTATAGTATAAGCTTTTCTTTTTCCTTAGTGAACGTCACAAGAAATTCCCACGTGTCACCACCTTGATTTGACATGCAGGCATTTATATACTATAGCATGCACTTACAATACTGAGCTGTATTAAATACCACTAGCACTGATATAATTGCTGACTACAGTCCCACACAGTTTCCACATATTTTATATGCATTCTTGAATGTCTGTTTGGCTGTGTGCATTTTTATCACAGGTAGAGATTTTTTGTTTTGTTTTGTTTTTTCGAGACAGGCTTCTCTCTGTTTTGGTGCCTGTCCTGAATCTCGCTCTGTAGACCAGGCCGGCCTCGAACTCATAGAGATCCGGCTGGCTCTGCCTCCTGAGAGCTGGGATTAAAGGCATGTGCCACCGCCGCCCAGCCACAGGTAGAGATTTAAGTAATTACTACACTAGTAAAGATATAGACATGTTCCATCCCCACAAATAAGTTTTCTTGTGCTGCCCCTTCATATTTGTGACACTTCAACTCTGTTTCCTGGTAACTATTAATCTTGTTCTGTCTCTAAAGTTCATTTAATTTGAGAAACTATAAATAGAACCATATTGTATATAATGCTGGGAGGTTTTTTTTTTTTTCTTCAATCAGCACACTTCCATAGAGAACCACAACAGACCAAAGCACCATGGAGAACCACAAAAGTTGTTGCACACACCAACTCTTTGTTCCTTCTTACAGATGGTAGCAGTACCCTATAAACATATTAAAGGTTGTTTAATCTACTTGAGGTGTCCTGTCCCGTCCCCCATCCCTTCCCCACTCCCCCCGAGACAGGGTTTCTCTGTAGCTTTGGAGCCTGTCCTGGAACTCACTCTGTAGATCAGGCTGGCCTCGAACTCAGAGATCCACCTGTTTCTTCCTCACAAGTGCTGGGATTAAAAGCATGTGCCACCACTGCCTGACAGTTGAGTTGTTTCTTATTTGGGTCTGTTAACAGCTATAAATATTGGTATTCAGGATACTGTGTGTTTTTTGTTTTTTCTTTTTGTTGTTGTTTATTTACTTATTTTTCTTTAAGATAGAAGCTCACTTTGTAGCCCATATTGTCCTAGAACTCACAATGTGTCCCAGACTGATCTTGAATCCACAGTGATCCTCTTGAGCTAAGAATTCGGTGCTTTGTTTTTGTTTTTTCAAGACAGGGTCTCACTCTGTAACCCTGGCTGGCCTTGAACTCACAGAGATCCACCTGTCCCCGCCTCCCGAGTGCTGGGACTACAGTCATGAACCACTCACTATTCTTGGCTGAGTCCTCTGAAGGCTGAGATTACAAGTAAGAGTCAGCACCAATGGTTTAAGACTCAGCAGTTCTTAGTAACTATTTTCTTTTAACTTTTTACTTATTTTTACTCATTTACGTTCATTGGTGTTTTGCCTGCATGTATGTCTGTATGAGGGTGTTGGGTACCCTGGAACTGGAGTTACAGACAGTTGTTAGCTGCCATGTAGGTGCTAGGAATTGAACCCGGGTCCTTGGAAAAACAGCTAGTGCTCTTAACCACCACTGAGCCATCTTTCTAGCCCCAAGGTTTTTCTTTTTTTTTTTTTTTATGTTATAGTTAAGTGAAATCAAAATAAAAAAAATTTGATTCAAAGCTTTAAAATATGAGACGTACTTAAAATATACCTAATATGCAAATTTTACACAATTTTATTCTAGTTAAGTTAAAAGAAAATAAATATTTTAATCACAAAATGTTCAGTATAATTCTATCTGCTATGGTTGATGTACATGTCCTCCAAAGGCCTATTTGTTAAACCCTTGGCTGCCAATCTGTGGTGCTACTGGGAAGTGGCAGAAACTTTAAACAGTGGGAGTTAGTTGGAAAAAAATTAGTATACTGGAACATGGTCGGAGGGGGCATTTCTTTTAATGATTTATTTATTTTTATTTTACATGAATTAAGTGTTTTGTCTGGATATCTGTATGAGGGTGTTGGATCCACTGGAACTGGAATTACAGACAGTTGTAAGCTGCCATGCGGGTGCTGGGAATTGAACCCAGGTCCTCTAGAAGAGCAGCTAGTGCTCTTAACCACTGAGCCATCTCTCCAGCCTCCTAGACTCTATGAGGTAAGGTTGTTCCTCTGCCATGTGCTCCCACCATGGTATACTGGCTCACCATAGGCCCAAGAACCTCTAAAACTGAGCCAAAATAACCCTTCCTCGGGAAAGCTGATGACCTCATGTATGTTATCAGTGATGGAAAGTTTACTAACCTACTATCCTTAAAAAATTAATGACAGGGCTGGAGAGATGGCTCAGAGGTTAAGAGCACTGACTGCTCTTCCAAAGGTCCTGAGTTCAATTCCCAGCAACCACATGGTGACTCACAACCATCTGTAATGAGATCTGGTGCCCTCTTCTGACCTACAGTCATACGTGCTGTATACATAATAAATAAATAAATAAATCTTTAAAAAAAAAAATTAATGACAGCTGGGCGGTGGTGGCACACACCTTTAACCCCAGCACTCTGGAGGCAGAGGCAGGCAGATCTCTATGAGCCTGGTCTACAGAGCAAGTTCCAGGACAGCCAAGATTGTTACACAGAGAAACTCTGCCTTGAAAAACCTAAAAAAAAGAAAAAAAAATTAATGAGGCTGGAGAACAGCTTAGCAGATAAAAGCACTTGCTGTTCTTACAGTGGACTTGGGTTCAGTTCTAAGCACCTACACCCTGAGGCTCATAGCTTCCTGTAACTCCAGTTTTGGGAGATACAGGCACATACAGACAAAAAGGCACACACAAATACACATAAAATAAATTTTAAAAAATTAATTCATCTCTCTAGACAACTATCTAGTCTTCCACTAAATATATATTCAAGAGAAAAGTGAGGGAGAGAGAAACTGAAATGTTACTAAAATGTTACCAAATGTTGCTTATTTTTCAGAGTGACAAATTTTGGATAATCTATTGCATCATTTTTTTCTATTTTCTGCATAACTTAAATCTGCATGTGTGTACATGTGTATTGCATGACCTGAATGCACACGAAGTTCCTTTATCATTTTCTGCCTTATTGCCTTGTGACAAGTTCTCTCACTGAACCTGAAGCTGGCTCTTTTGACTAGGCTGGCTGGCCGGCCAGAAAGCTCTTGAAATCAGCCTGTCTGTACACCCTAATGTTGAGAGTTACAAGCATATATAGTCATGGCTGGCTTTTAAAGTCATTGTTGAAATCCAAACTCCAGTCCTCACGTTTACAGAACATGTTCTTTCTCCACTGAGTCATTTCCCTAGTCCTGTATCACATTTTAAATGAACATGTATTATATTTATAAAGATAATATGCTCTTTTTTATTTGTGTGTTTGTTTTTAGAGACAAGGTTTTTCTATGTAATCCTGACGGTCTTAGAACTCACTTTGTAGACCAGGCTGACCTTGAACTCAGAGATTCACCTGCCTCTGCCTCCCAAGTGCTGGCCACCACTGTCCAGCACAATATACAGCAATTTGACCACCAACATCTTATTTAACCAGATCAGGAAGGTTTCTTCTAGACTAACAAAGAAAATTCAATGCAGAAGTACAGCCCTGTCAACAAGCACACAAAACAAAGGCTCTCCAGATTTGAGTTTTCTCTCTCTTTGCTAAATCAATATCCTTACCCAATCATTACCATGTGTAAGGCATCTATGAAGCAAAGCTCCGAAGTCTCATACCTTCACAACAGGATGACCACCAGTAGAGGCCTTCACTGCCCCTCGGCTACCTTCAGTTTCATAATGGGCTCGATGATGAGTTTTAGGTTGCACTTCTATTTTCAATTCACATTGTCCAAAGTGAGTTGGTAAAGGCCAGTCTAATGGAGGTAATGAAGATGTGCTATAAACAAAACATACACACAGTTTCACCATATTATCATTGCCAAGCACAGATTCAAAGCATCTCTATGCCAGTTCCAATATTTTTTCCAATGGTTTTTTTAAACAAAGTATTCCAAAATCAACTTCACTTAGTAAGTTATAGTACCAATTATGGTAGGTATTTAACAGACCATCCTTTTAATTTAATTAATGCTTTATTTATTTATTGGTCTTTGAGACAGGGTTTCTCTGCATAGTCCTGCCTATCCTGGAACTTGCTCTGTAGACCAGGCTGACCTTGAACTCTAGTCCAGGCTGAGATCTACCTGCCTCTGCTTCCTGAAAACTGGGATTAAAGGTGTATACCCCTACCACCCTGATGATTATTCTTTTTAATGAATAAATAATTCTTTTTTTGTTATTGTTTTTTGTTTTTGTTTTTCGAGATAAGGTTTCTCTGAAGCTTTAGAGCCTGCCCTGGAGCTCGCTCTATAGACCAGGCCGGCTTCAAACTCACAGAGATCTACCTGTCTCTGCCTCCCGAGTGCTGGGATGAAAGGCATGTGCTATGACCACCCGGCAAATAAATAATTCTTTAACCTGAAGACTAAAATATATTGTTTCTGCTTTTAGGATTTCTTTTTTATTTTGAAAAAGGACAAACCCTATAATGATTTGTAAAACTTCCTCAACTCTATATATAACTATAAAAGCAATCAAAAAAGTAGTTCAGTCTCTTAAAGATATTCATCTCTGGCTGGGCGGCAGTGACACACGCATTTAATCCTAGCATTCAGGAGGCAAAGCCAGGTGGACCTCTGTGAGTTGGAGGCCAGCCTGGTCTACAGAGTGTGATCCAGGACAGGCACCAAAACTACACAGAGAACCCTTGTCTCGAAGAAAAAAAAGAAAAAGAAAAAAAGATATTCATCTCTGTATATATATCTCTGTAAGACTAAGTATTTTTTTTATGTGTATGAATGTTCTGCCTGCATGTATGTCAGTGTACCAGGTACATGTCTAATCCCTGCAAATGCCAGAAGACAGCATTATATCTCTTGGAGCTGAAGTTATACTATAGAAGGCTGTCAGCTGCCACGTGAGTGTTGTGAATCAAACCTAGATCTTCTGGTGTTGTAGAATATTAGTTTAAGATGTGTTACATTCGCCGGGCGGTGGTGGCGCATGCCTTTAATCCCAGCACTCGGGAGGCAGAGCCAGGCAGATCTTTGTGAGTTCGAGGCCAGCCTAGTCTACAGAGCGAGATCCAGGAAAGGCGCAAAGCTACACAGAGAAACCCTGTCTTGAAAAACCAAAAAAAAAAAAAAAAAATGTGTTACATTCGTTTATGCTGTGGGATATTTATTTAATGATGCAATGATGTGTTGCATTTCTTTAACTCTGTATAGCTGTGCTACTTTGTCTGCCTAAAACACCTGATTGGTCTAATAAAGAGCTAAATGGCCAATAGCTAGGCAGGAGAGAGAAATAGGTAGTGCTGGCATGCAGAGAGAATAAATGGGAGGAGAAATCTAGGGAGAAAAAGAGAGAGGAGGAGCAAGAAAAGCAGAGGATGCCAGCCACTTAGCAAGCTACAGAGTAAGAAAGAAAGATATAAAGACTAAAGAAAGGTAAAAAGCCCAGAGGCAAAACATAGCTAAAAAGAGAAACGGGTTAATTTAAGTTAGAAAAGCTAGCTAGAAACAAGCCAAGTTAAGGCTAGGCATTCATAAATAAGAATAAGTCTCTGTGTATTTATTTGGGAACTAGGTGGCAGACCCCCAAAAAGTCAAAAAAAAAAAAAAAAAAACCCAACCAAAATAAGCCCCACAACTACATTCTGGAAAAGCAGTAGGTACTCTTACCTACTGGGCAATCTCTCCAGGCCCCAAGACTAAGTATCTTTAAAATCTAAATTTTTAGATTTCTGTCTGTATGTATCACTCCACACTTTGGTAAGGATCTATGTGGAAATCCATCTATTATGCTTGTGGCCTTCTCCACTCCCTATCATTTCACTCTTCTCTCTGAAAAACTGCTTATCTTAGGCAATCCTCTGTTACTTGAGGAAAAATGTAGTTTCAGTGCATAACTGCTTAAAACAAGCATAAAGCATCTGTAGTATGTTTTTAAAATGTTAGTATTTCCCTTGGTTAATAAGAATTTAGACGGTATAAAGACCTAAAGGTTAATTTAGATATATTAATAATAAAAATGTTACATGGCTGCTTGTGGGTCTCCATGCTTCCCACCAAGATGACAATGGACTAAACCTCTGAACTGTAAGCCAACCCTAATTAAATGTTTCCCTTTATAAAAGTTGCCATGGTCATGATGTCGCCTCCTGGAATAGAAACCCTAAGACATAAACTTTCTGTACCATTTAAAAAAAAAAAATGGTACATGGGCTTGGGAGATTGTTCAGTAGGAAGAGTGCTTGCCATTCTATGATGAGGGCCTTAGTTCAAATCCCCAGAACACACATGTAAGCCAGCACAGTGTCCTCAGTCTGTAATCCCAGTACTGGGAAAGCAGAGACAGGAGGATCCCTGGGGCTTTCCAGACAACCAGGTTCAATGAGAGATCTTATCTTTTAAAAACTAAATGGAGAAGCAAATAAGGAATGAGGAAGACATCCAATGTCAACCTCTGGTCTCCACATGCACCTATATGCACACACGTACACATACACACAAAGAAAATATTGAACTAGAAAATTACTTACATATTTACAGGTCAAATAGTAATGGACACAAAGCTCAGTTAGTAGAGTTCTTGCCTAGCATGCAAGAAACCCTGAGTTTGAATCCTAGCATTGCATTACATAACACTTGTTATCCCAGAACTTTGGAGCTAGAGGCAGGAGGGTCAGAACTTCAAGGCCATCGTCAGTTATATAGTAAACCTGAGGTCAATCTGAGCTACATAAGATCCAGTCTCAAAGAAAGAAAACAAGACCGTTGAAAATTTAAAAAAAAAAAAAAAATTAAGTTAGGAAGGCTAAGCAAATAGCATGGAGGCTGGAGCTGTAGCACCACACATTTTAGGTCATCATGGGTCAACACAGTATTTAAAAGTAAATAAATTGTGGGGAAAATGCTTGCCATCAATAGGGCAAAGCTAGAGGAGAACTCGGTCAGTAAAGTGCTTGCCACGCTATGCAAGCACAAGGACACAGTTCAATCCCCAGAACCCACACAAAGGTGGAAGGCGAGAATCAACTCCAGAAAGTTGTTTTCTGAACAGCACACACAGGGAACGACACACATGCCACATTCATGCATATCCTCCACAAGTGTGCACACATACAACAATAAAGTTGTTGTGTGCCTGTGCATGTGTGTGTGGGTGTTAAGCTTGGTGAGCTCTAGGCCAATAAGAAGCCTTGTCTCAAAAAACAAGATGTATGACTCCTGAGGAACAAAACCCATAGCTGTTTTCTGGCCTCCACATGAACGAACACACACACACACACACACACACACACACACACACACACACACACACACGCTCACACACATACTTCTTCAAAATATGCAAATTCCCAGTTAATTTATTAGTAATATAATTCATACTATAACCCACCTGCACAATCATCTCTTCTAGATAAGGAAATTCCTTTTAGGGATCCTTAAAGGTTGTTTACTATTATCTACAATCTATCAGCTTTCATTTTCTTTATCTATATACTTTTAAATGTAACTTTAGTCAATTTAAAAACACTTTTAAGACTTAAAGGGAAATAAAAAGGACTTCTAAGTTTTTGGCTGGTATAATTTATTTTTAAAAAAACAAAGAACAAGGAAGATGAGGGCAGGGAGAGGGGAAAGAGAAGGAAGGAGAAAAAAGGAGAGAGAAGGGAAAGGGGAGAGGGAGGGGAGAAGAGAAAGGGAAGGGAAAGGGGAAGGCAAGGTAGTCAAACATAGACAGATAATGTAGTTAGACAATGCAAATGACCTGTAAGCATGAAAAAACTATCAGCAGCCATTTCTATCAACTCACCGAAATATAGGGGTGTGGCCAGGCTTTGGTTTGCTCCAGGTAAAGGGTGAAGGAACTGAAAGAAATTGGTCACCAGATGAATCTTTCTTTAAAGGATACTGAGATCCAAGGCCATCATCTACTGAAGTTTCCCGGGATGGTGATAAGCTCCCTTGATCATCAGAACAAACCTCTAATTTTCCTGGTAGTATGGCAGCTTGATCTTCAGAAGTCTTCCTTGTTTTCAAAGGGATATCAGTCTCTACACAGTACTGAAATGGGAAAGGTGCAGGGCCAAGGCCTGATCCAGTGTGGACAGAAGCAGTAAGCCAGGTATCTTCTGTTACACTTCCCCTAGGGGAGTGGCCAGGGGAAGGAACAGGTGAGTGATGGGGTGAAAGGGAACCAGCATAACAGACTTCAGCACTGGAGTGCCGTCGTTTACCACAGGGAGAAGTGGGCCTTGATGAGGGTCCTGAGGCTGGTCTGGGGCTCAGCCAATTCTCATCAGTGATACTGGATCTAGGAGAGTGGCAAGGAGATTGCCTAGGTGACAAGGAGTGTCCAGGTCCATACTGTTGCTGCCAGGAGTCTTCTCCAGGACAGCCTCCTGGAGAGCCACCTGGAGAAGTCAGAGGTGAGCCAAGAGTAAATCGAGCAGCAGCTTCATTCAACTCTGAGTCCACATCATCATAAATGTGTGAGAGAGATTCACAAGAAGATGCATCTGAGAACCAGCTCCTAGAAGAAATGCTGCTGGCAGGACTTGGACTAAAGGAAGACTCCCGGTAGGATGGCTCAAGTGGAAGATAGAGATGATCTCTAGAAGGTCTTTCCAAGTATTCCCTTTCTGGATCATTTATCTGTAGGTCATCTTCATGTGCATCTGTTCCTTGATGACAGTTAGGAGAGATGGATGTAATTTGAATACTTGGGCACTCAAAGGGTTTGGGACCACCTAATGGGCTATATTTAGATTCAGAAATATCACCAGTTCCTTCATAATTTTTGTGACTTTGGAGCTGAAATGATGGCGACAAAACAGAAGAGTGAGACTGCAGCAGTCCATGATGTGGTAAGCCAAGTGATGAGTTTAAAGTAGATGGAGGTGGATCTACATTAAAGATGTAAATGGATGCACAATCATCTGGCTCAATATCTATGAAAGGGAAGGAAAAACAAAAAAAAAAAACCACCACAACCAAAAAAGTCAATAAAAGAAATTAGAAAATTCAAGTGTATAAATTACTAGATGAAAAATTAATAACAATCTTGAGAGAAAAAAAATTGGATACCAAAATGCATGTTATTAGCTCCAGTAAAGGGTTGGGCACAGTGATTCTGTTTATTGCAACACATGGGCAGAAAGATTACTGAGCATTCAATGCCTATCTTAGCTATAAGGTGAGTTTCAGGCCAGCCTGAACCACAACAAAGGTGAATTTAAAAATGAATCTTTTTATTTTTGCAGCTATGCATGAATGTTACATATGGAAATACGTAATTATGTGACATTCTTTTTCTTTACTTCCACATTTCCAAAAATTATTATCTGAGATTAGAGAATATTTTTTTCTAAAAGGTATATATCTATATACTCTCACACAAATAAAACTAATTAAAGCCACAGAACTATAAGATAATATAAACTGGGCTAACAAGATGGCTTAGTGGGTAAAGGTGCTTGCTGCCAAGCCCAATGATAATGAGCTCAACCTCTGGGACCCACATAATAGAAGAAAACCAACTCCTACATGTTGGCCTACAACTTCCATATGAGCACTATGGCATGTGCATACTCATACCACCACCACCACCCAAGGGGAAAAAACCCTGAATTTAATTTAAAATTTCAGATATTTTATTATTTTCATTTTTTGTGTTTGCCTGAATTTATATTAATATACCACGTGTGTACAGGCGGCATCAGATCTCCTGGAACTGGAGTTACAGAAGGTTGTAAGTCACTTTGTGGGTACAGGGAACTGAACCTAGATCCTCTGTAAAAGCAGCAGGTGCTTTCACTATTGATGTATATCCCAGACCCAAAGAATTTTTTTCTTTTTGGTTTTCGAGACAGGGTTTCTCTGTGTAGCTCTGAATTTCCTGGAACTCACTCTGTAGACCACAGTGACCTCAAATTCACAGAGATTCGCTTGCCTTTGCCTCCAGCGTGCTGGGATTAAAGGCGTATGCCACCACCACCACCCTGCAAGAATTTTTTTTAATGATAGAAATATTTTTCAAATGATAATTGGCACTTGCAGGTTAAGACTGAATGAAACAAGAGTCTTTGAAAAGCACCAGGGGCCCGGGCCGGGGTGGCACATGCCTTTAATCCCAGTACTCGGGAGGCAGAGGCAGGCAGATCTCTGAGTTCCAGGCCAGCCTGGTCTACAGAGCAAGATCCAGGACAGCCAGAGCTACACACAGAGACCCTGTCTCGAAAAACCAAAAAAAAAAAAAAAAAGAAAAAAAAAAAAAAAAAAAGAAAAAGAAAGAAAGAAAAGAAAAGCACCTGGGGCCAGGCGGTGGTGGTACACACCTTTAATCCCGGCACTCAGGAGGCAGAGGCAGGCAGATCTCTGAATTCGAGGCCAGCCTAGTCTACAGAGCGAGATCCAGAATAGGCACCAAAACTACACAGAGAAACCCTGACTTGAAAAAAACAAACAAACAAACAAAAAAAGAAATAAAAAGAAAAAGGAAGAGCACCTGGGAAGTCAGGTGGTGTTGGCACATGCCTTTAACCCCAGGACTCAGGAGGCAAGGCAGGTGGATCTCTGAGTTCAGGCTACAGAGAAACCCTGTCTGGGGGGGGGGGGGGAAGAGAGAGAAATAAAAGCCCTTGGGGGTTGGGAGGGAGTGATGGTTCATACTTAAAATCCTGAATTTGGGAGGCAACAGGATCACCAGTTTTAGGCCAGGGCAGGCCAGGCAGTGAGTTTGAGGACCATTCTGGGATACACAGTGAGATTGTCTCAAAAACAAATGGTAGATTTTTATTAATTTTTTTGGTGAGGGTATGGTTGGTTGTTTTTTGTGCTACCATTAACTTTGACTCTTATTCACATTATTTCTCTCTGTAGGTCTCAGTTTCCTTGCAATAAAATTCAAGATTTCTCTTTTAAGAAGTGTCTATAATTAACACAGACATCTTCTTCCTCTTTAGTTATATCATTAAGAATTCATGTTTTCATACAGCAGACCATTTTACAAAAGCCACTGTTTGGGGCTGGAAAGACGGCTCATCAGTTGAGAGCTCTTCTAGAGAATCTGGGTTTATTTGTTTTGCTTTTCAGGTTTTTTGTTTGTTTGTTTGAGACAGGGTTTTACTATGTAGCTCTGGATGTCCTGGAACCCACTATGTGGACCAAGTTGGCCTTGAATTTACAAAGATCTTCCTGCCTCTGCCTCCCAAGAGCTGGAATTAAATAAGGGCCTGTGCCTGCACACCCAGTATCTAGATTTGACTCCCAGCACCCATAGCAGCTCACAAGTGTCTGTAACTCCAGTCCCAGGGAATCCAATATCCTCTTCTGTGGGTACAAGGCACACACATAATATATAGACACATATTAGGCAAAACATCCCTACACATAAAATAAATTAAAACAAAAAAAGCCAGACATCACTAGATCCTTTACCTAAATAGAAAATAACTGATTGAGGATTTTAACTTATAGTTGATTATTAATCTTCATAAATTTAGATTTTTTTTTTTTTTTTTTTTTGGTTTTTCAAGACAGGGTTCCTCTGTGTAGCTTTGCGCCTGTCCTGGAACTCACTTTGTAGACCAGACTGGCCTCGGATTCAAAGAGATCCGCCTGCCTCTGCCTCCCCGAGTGCTGGGATTAAAGGCGTGCAGCACCACCACCACCACCACCACCACCACCACCACCACCACCACCACCACCACCATCACCACCACCACCCAGCTAGAATTTTTAATTTATTCCCCAGCTAGGCATGATGACACACCTATGTGTAATCTCAGTACTCCAGCCTGGGCAGTGGGATAGAGTTTAAGGCTTGCCTTGGTTGCAAAGAGAAACTCTTTCTCAAAATAAATAAGAATAAAGTAAGATAAAATCTACCCCTTGCTAGAATATTTAATACTAAGCAAGTCCTGCCAGAGACTTAACTATACTAGCAACTACTATATTCTTCATCATTATATAATCCAGTTTTTTAAAAAAAACTCATTTTTAAGAATAAACTTTAAAAATCGTATTTTTTTAAGTGGAAATCACCCATGAGAGACTTTATAGTTTCATTCTAATGTTGATTGTTATACCAATGTTATTTCAGTGGTTGATTAATGCTGAAATTCATACCTCCTTCCAAGTAAACTAGATAAAAAAGCAGCCGGGCGGTGGTGGCACATGCCTTTAATCCCAGCACTCGGGAGGCAGAGCCAGGCGGATCTCTGTGAGTTCGAGGCCAGCCTGGTCTACAGAGTGAGATCCAGGAAAGGCGCAAAGATACACAGAGAAACCCTGTCTCGAAAAACCAAAAAAAAAAAAAAAGCATATACATAAATGATGTCTTGAGGCTATAGAAATGGCTCATTGGGTAATAGTGCTTTCTGTGCTGACATGAAAACTTGAACCCAAATCGCTATCAAACCACGAAAAGAGGTGGGTATGGCTGCCTGTGTCTGTGACCTCAGCACTGAGGGCTGAGAGGCAGACAGGTCTCAGGAATTCCTAGCAGGCGAGCTAGCTTAGCTGAAATGGTGAGCTTCTGATTCAGTGAGAGACCCTGCCTGTCTCAAGGCTACAAGGTGAACAGCAATAGAGGACAACACATAACATCCTCCACTAGCCTCCTTGTGCACGGGAGCATGGACACACACACATATAAACACATGCAGAATGTCTTAAAGTAGTACAAAGACATGAACACAAAAAGTAATGTACTGCTTCATCTTTTTCCTATGTGTTTAAAAGTCCCAATTCTGAAAATAACAGCAGTCACTCCAACCACACTAGATGTCATGATGCTCCAGAACCACCTCAAGACTTAATTTATTTTAAATGTTCTATCAGCCACCAGAGGGCCCTAGGAAAGCAGACAATAATCTGGAAAACAGTGATAGCCTGTTCATGTCTTTACTAACAGTAAACCAGGAGTTGGCAAAATACAGCCTGTGAGCCAAATCTGTCCCTACCACCTGCTATTTTGTTTATGACAACCTACAAGCTAAGAATGGTTTTTAAAAGAAACTGTTTTATGAGATATAATAATGTGATTCAAATTCAGGTGTCTATAAATAAAATTTTATTGGAACTTGGCCACATTCAATTATGTGGGTTACTTTCCCACAATGATAGAGAAGAGTAACTTCAAAAAAACACCTAAGTGGATGCCACACTGCTGCTTGGGACACAGTGATATAGTTTTGCAGTGCTCAGAACTGAACCCAGTGCTTTACAAATACTTGGCAAACATTCTCCATCAAGCTATATACCTAGCATTTTTTGCTTTGTTTTTGAGATAGAGAAGTGTCGGTGAGGGAGTATCTCACCATGAATCCCTGACTGGTCTGCAAACTGCCATGTACACAAAACTGACCTACAACTCTCTATGATACCAGTCTTGTGTTGACTTGCAGTGATCCTGCTGCCTCTGCCTCTGCCTCATGGCAAACACCAGTAATTCCAACAGATGGATGGCTGAGGCATACATAGCAAGACTGTCTCAAAACAAAAATTAATAGCAACAACAACAGTCAATCAGTAAGTAAGCAAGATCTACATGGCAGTACAGGCTCATAATCCCAGCACTGAGAGGCAGAGTTAGGAAGATTAGGAATCTGAGATCACCCTTGGCTATATACACCTGGCTCCTCAGTCCAGCTCTGCTTTCAAATTTTTAGCAAGGCACAGTGGCTCATATCTGAAATTCCAGTACTCAGGAGGCTAAGGCAGGAGGATTGGCACAAGTTCAAGGCCAGCCTGAGCTACATAGTGAGTTCCAGAACAGTCTGGGCTATATCTCAAAAAGCAAAAACAACAAAAAGAATGACTATGGATTAAACAATTCTTCCCAGTTATATATTCATGAGAATGAAAATAGGTCTATATATGAATTTGTACACATATGTTTGTAACAGTGTTATTTGAAATGGCCAAAGGGCTCACAACCATCTGTAAT